GTGCGCGCGGCCTCTGGCACGCCTGCGGCATGGCTGCGGATCTGTGGGAGGCCCGGCAGAGCGGCCCTGCGGAGCAGTTGGGGCCCGTCTGCGCTGCCCGCCTGCCTCGCGGGTTGGCTCTAGGCCCTGCTCTGACTGAAGGTGAAAAGGTCCTTGAAGGTGGCCCCACTGGCAACACATAGGGGGTGCACGCAGGTGCCCGTGCACCCCCTGAGCATGGCGGCGCACCCCCTGCGAAAAGGTGCCGCTAACACTGCCAGCAGTGCCTGCGGGCCATCGCCACCCCCTGCCCCGCCACCGCCAACACCGCTGGTGGCGTCTGCAGGCGGTTCGCGACCACCGCTGGGCACTGTCAACACTGCCGGCAGTGTCTGTGAGTGATCCCCGATGGCCAGTCAGCACTCGCCACCCACCCCCTGCCACTGAGTGCGGTGGCCACCTGCGGGAGCTCACCGCTTGTCACCACCACGCTCCCGCCACCGACCATGCTGCCACCGCCTGCAGGAGTTCACCATGCCCCCCAGCCTCCAGGGGTACGCGGCGTTCATGGCTAGCACAGTGCCAGGCTTGCCTGCCACACTGGCCTAGTCTAAGGACCAATTCATCAGTGCCCATAAGCATGTGATTGTGAAGCTGTGTTGGGGTGGACCCTGCTGTCCCACAGCAAGGACAGATTTTCAGCGGTTTGCAGCTGGCCTCTGTAATTGATCTACTCCAGCTGGTAAACCGTAGACCTGGTACTTGAAGGCTGTCCAGCCATCACTGTATAGACCAGGGGATATGGCCCACAGCTGCCCCTGGGGTGCTCCACGTGGAGCTGACCCCACCCACTCCGGCCAGCCCCAGTCCCAGCCAGCACACAGCTTCTAACGGGGCTGTTTCCAGGGCAGCTACAGCCGGCTGGGTGTTCCTCTGTTCCCCTCGCCTCCAGCAGGCCCCACTGGGCTGAAGCTTCCCCCCACCTGCCCACCCCAAGCAACACCCCTGGGGGGAGGAGCAGCCTGGTGGTGAGGGGAGCACAGCAGCATGCACCAACATTTATCACCTCCCTACATACCCTCCGTGGCTGTCAACAGATGTGAAAAAAGAAGCCCTTTACCAGAAGAGGCAGCTCACTAGTTCAACACAGCTCCTCAGCATCTGCATAGATCCGGTGCTTCAGCAGGGCTTTTCTGTACTTTTATCAAGAAGCCCCACTAAAGCACCTGATCCACAGACATGGGGCAAGTCAGGTCCAGCTAATAAGGTGCCTCTTCTGGGAATGCGCTGCGCTCAGTGCAGGGATGCACCAAATTTAAAGTAACTTTTTTTGGGGAGGGGGTTAGGTCTGTAAGCAGCCCATAAGTAATGCCATCAGTTAATTATCTGCACTGTTAGCCAAATGCATCTTATTTCGAGCTTGAATTTATCCAAGTGAAACTTCCAGCTCTTGGATCTTGCTGTGTTACATAAGAGTGTTCTAAGCGGGCTGGGTCAGCACCCCCTTGCTCCCCACGCAGAAACTCATCAAAACTCCCTATGGGGCTTTGGGTGGGTGGAGGGCAGTGTTCGGGCATCAGACTGGTGGAGGCAAGGGGCGTGCAGCAGCATGTGGCCGGATGCAGCTACACTGGGAACAGCCGCACTGGAAGCTGCACTCTGGCCAGGGCCCGTGCTAGCGGGGCTGTTCTGCTCCCTTTGTCTCCTCTGCCCCAGCAGCACTGCTCTGGCCAGGCGGGCGGGAAGCTTCAGCCAGGCAGCTTCTGCCCAGCACATGCAGCTCTGGCTCCAGTTCCCAGCTGCTTTCCACCCGCTCTGCCTGCCCATGGGTGACTGCTCATTGGGCCTGGTGGGCACAGCGGGTGAAAGGCAGCTGGGAACTGGAGCCAGAGCTCCACGCGCTGGGCAGAAGCTGCCTGGCTGAAGCTTCCTGCCTGCCTGGCCAGAGCAGCGCCACAGGGGCAGAGCCAACACTAGCCCCAGCTGGAGACAAAGGGAGCAGAACAGTTTCGCCAGCCTGGGCCCTGGCCAGAGTGCAGCTTCTAGTGAGGCTGTTCTCAGTGTGGCCCCAGCCGGCCACATGCTGCTGCGCTCCCCTTGCTGCCAGCGGTTGCCTGTCCCACTCCTGAATGCTGTCTCCCAAATTTGGTGGACTCCTGCATCGAGCGCAGCGCATTCCCAGAAGAGGCACTGCATTTATTGGACCTGGCTCGCCCAGTGTCTGTGTGGATCAGGCACTTTAGTGGGGCTTTTTGATAAAAGCACCAAAAAGCTCTGCTGAAGCACTGGATCTATACAGACGCTGTGGAGCTGCCTCTTCCGGTAAAGTGCTTTTTTTTCACATCTGTCAACAGCCATGGAGGTTATGTAGGAAGGTGATAAATTCTTCATCCTTTGAAATCTTTAAATCAAGACTGGATGACTTATTAAAAGTATTGGACTTGATGGTGGAATTATAGATTGCAATTTTACGAGTTGTGCTCAGTGAGATTTCGAACTAGGTGATATTGATAGTTCCTTCTGGTCTCCAAATCCCTGAATTCTTCAGCTGCTCTTTATACAGAACTCCTACTGAAGGCTTTGGGCATTGGGGTAACTGTGGAGTACAGGTTTCCCTCGCCAGCCACGGTTTTGACTATCTCTGGTTAATATTCTGTATACCGTTTTGCCTACCACGGTATGCAGTTTTGAGTAACCACGGTTTTCTGTGGCAGCAGCGAGGTGCAGACGCAGGGAGCAGAAGCTGAGTCCAGCTGCAGCCCACCCATACCCCATGCAAAGACCAGGGACCCATGTGAGCCCCACCACACACACACTCCTTGGCTCCCTGGCACTGTGCCACCTGGAGGAGCTGCCAGGCTCCAATTGTGCCATGGCCCAGCCTGGCAGGACCCGATTCACTGTGAACAGGGCCCTGGCTGGGCATGGTCATGGGACAAATGAAGCTTGGCGACTCCTCCAGAGGCAGCATGGCACCAGGGAGCCAAGGAGTAGGTGGGGCACACGGGCCCCCAACCTCTGCACAGAGCAGGAGTGGGCTGCAGCTAGGCTCAGCTTCTGTTCCCTGCATCTGCACCTCGCTGCCCTACCTGTGGTGGCAGGGAGCAGGTCCACTCGCCCTTGTGCCCTGCTTCCCTCCCCAGAAACCCGGCGCAGCAGGGAGCAGAGAAGCCGAGCAGGGATCTCCTCGTTTGCCTCTTTGCCCCGTGCTGCCCCGGCGACGCGCCTCCTGCAGCAGCCCTCCCCCTCCCCCGAATGAGCCACCCACGGCCCCGTCCTGCTCCCCATAGAGGGCACATGCCCCCAGGCCTGCCCCTGGATGTTCACAGTGGTGGGAGCCCCCTGTGCCCCTGAACAAGCCACCTGGGCTCCAAGCAGCCCACAACCTGGCCTGGCCAGGGCCCCATTCAGGTCCTTAACCCCACTTTTCCCATAAGCCTCTGGTCTTACCAACCACGGTTTTGCCAACCACGGGAACTTCGGCAACTGTCTTTGCCACTGGGCTCAGATGGTCCCACAACCTGGCCTGGCCAGGGCCCCATTCAGGTCCTTAACCCCACTTTTCCCATAAGCCTCTGGTCTTACCAACCACGGTTTTGCCAACCACGGGAACTTCCAGGAAGCTAACCCCCGCAGTTGGCGAGGGAAACCTGTAACCATAGAATTGGGCCCTAATTTTATGACCTAGGAGTTGTGCTGGAATAATAACAAAGCCATGCCTAATTTACATTTAGTACAGAACGTGTGAATTGTTTAGACCTTTTTCGAGAATGAAGTTTCCGCAGTGAATGTTCTTAAAAGACTGCAACCTAGCTTTCATGACCCATGTGAACGCTAATACCCTGAGCCATCTATAACATAGTTTCTGAAGGTAATACGCAGTAGCTTGTAACACAGACTTGTGCCTCTGCTGTATGGAACTATCACCACTCACCTACATCCTTGGTTCTGTATTGCTGATCCCAAGCGGAGAGTCTCCTGTAGGTTGGGTGGTGGTAGACTTACCTTTGGGAATACAAGGGTCTGATTTCTATTCCTTTTGGCATTATAAAGTTCTGAACAGCCACAGTGAATAATAGAGTAACCAGTCTGCCCTCTGAGGTGGTTAGTTGTGTTATAAGTAGTAGTATCCTCTAGATCAGGTGTATTTTTAATGAATGAGTGATCATTTACCAAAATGTATTATCTACTTTTCTTCTCTCTACCTCTCTCCCTCCTTAGGAGACATTTTAGACCTACAGGTCTATTATCCCTGGGAATTCCTTTCCAGCTCTCCTTGCAGAACAGTTGTATTCCCTCTAATAACATCTGGAGTTACCTACTGGGTGATCAAGTTTTTGCAGCAGCTGGGTGTCTGGCCAAAATGCATCAACAGCTACACCCTTCTTGTAGCACCTCGCCTTCTCCTCACCACCTTTTCTTTCATACTTGACTATACTGTGTATCGGGTAGCTCCATTCTGGGGAGCAGATCGGTGGAACGCACTCATTCTTCTTGCTGGATCCTATATCACACTTGTGTTTTTCACACGGACATTTACCAACACACTTGAAGGACTTTTCTTTGCCCTGCTTATGTTACTAGCATCTGCAAGAGAGTCTGACACCTGTCTGGCAAAACATACTCGTAGCAGTCTCATAGGGATTATAACAGCGTCCGGGTTTTTCAACAGGCCAACTTTTTTGGCATTTGCTTTAATGCCACTCCTTTATTGGACAGGCCTAAATGTCACTCCTCAGCACAGCTTTAGAGCTATTGCAAACCACTTCTTGAATCTTGTTCCTAGCGCAACTCTCACTGCCTTTATTTTCGTAGCAGCTGACACACTATATTTTACCACCTTTCAATCAAAGGATAGCTCAAACAGTACTGAAAAGGTCAAACCATTCAGCATTACAGCTATAGTAAACCAGAATATAATTGTAACCCCTTTTAATTTTCTTAGTTATAACCTTAATCCCCATAACCTTGCACAGCATGGGAGCCATCCACGAGTCACTCATTTTGCAGTCAATGGGCTAATCCTCTTTGGGATCCTACACATTCTGGCCATCAGTGTTGGTTTGAAAATGCTAAGGAGATGCATCCATCCATTATCATGGATCAAACCGCATGGTCATCAGTCATCCACAGTGTTGGTGCATCCTGAGAGCAAGCTAGCACTACTCTCATTCTATTTTGTTCCTTTGGTATTTCTTTCCCTGTTCAGTCACCAAGAACCTCGATTTCTTATTCCTCTGATCCTACCACTAGTCCTATTAATTACATCACACAATAGAACCATAAAGTGGAAACCCATTATCATCATTTTCAATGTTCTTGGTGCCTTTGTGTTTGGGTGCTTACACCAAGGAGGGTTGATCCCATGCCTGGCTCATTTAGAACAGCTCATACATTCTCCAGAGTCTTTGAGCCATGGAGCACATTATACTCTCCTCTTTGCTCACACTTACATGCCTCCCAGGTTTCTGCTGAATATCAGTAAGAAAGATCCACAAATAGAAGTGATCGATATGGCTGGGACTGAGCTACAAACCTTCTGCCAAACACTAGAACACCTAGCAAACACCTGCGGTGGTACACAAACCGAGAGAAAAGCAGCTTGCAAACTGTTTGTTATTACTCCTGGAACAATCAGCACAAACGTAAAAAAATGTGGTGTTTTGTTCAAGAATGAGACCTTAATATTTCCACACTTGACAATGGAAGATCCACCACAACTGTCATTTCTGTTCAGTGACAAATGGAAAAGTCAGTTAGGACTATCCATCCTTCAGCTGGACAGAAATCAACAGAGCATTTAGGGATTTTATTTATCTTTTTAGGTATTTAATGTTGTGCTGAAGAAAGTTGCAGGATCAGTGATTCTGGAGACTGAAGTCCTCTTTTTATTCACAGACCCACGTACATCCCAGGCAGTGGTAATGCAAGCTTCTCCCATGTTGTTTCTCCCATTACCTTCACCACCATGCATTACACCTCTTTTGGATGGACTCAGTTTAGGTGTGTTAGTTGTTCATTCTTCATGAACTGAGGACAGTTTTAAAACCAGGATAATTTTCCTGTGGACAGAGAACTAGATCAGCTGATAAACAGATGCTGAAGATGTCTATAACAAAACACCTATCATGTTGTTCAGGGTCATCTCTTCTCTCGGGTATATGGTTGATTTGTTGAGTTTTGTTCTCTTTTTGAGTTCTACTGTGTCACATGCATTAATGAACTTAGCATCCAGAAGCTCATCAGAGTCGTTAGGGCAGATTACACTCATGATGCAGTATTTTTTCATATGCGAGCACCATCATCATAGCACTATGTATAGTAACAAAAATATGTCCTCTCAGAGGACAGGACTGTGCAAAAGGGATTGGAATGAATATGGTCTGTTCCATCTAAAACACCAGTGTTACAACCAGAACAAAGAAAAGGAAATTAAGTTAGTTTATGGTACCAAGTTTTAACAGGAAATTTGGCAGACTACATAGTCACAGAAGATGCCCTTACCTGGCAGTTCATTCCCTGTGAAAAAAGCTTTTTATATTGTAGAAGTTTATTTTTTCCCCTCTGATTATGGACATGCATATAGGCTGTATTTCATTTTCTAGTGCGGCTTTCATGTTTTATATTACAGAACATGCTCTGAAGGTATCATGATAGTGCACCAAATGTATTTTTCGGTGAGTTCCCTTGCCTATGCTGCTAATTATTTCTGTAAATAATTTTGTTCAGTGCATTCTGTGCCAAATTTGTAAAGTGGTTATTATGCCCTCTTTAATGTTTATATCTTAATGTAGTGAAGACCCTTACAGAAAATATAAAGTATTTATAATGTTAGTACTTACACAATCCGTAGTACCACAGCATCCTAGTAGACCTCGTAACTGTTTTGTGACACAGAAGGTAGTTATCTCCATGGCGTACTATGATCATGGGACTTTTTACGGGCAGCCTGTGGCAAAACCAGGAACAGAATTTGGATCTCTTCCATGCCTGCTTATCCCCTTAAACTCAGGGGGTGTTTTAGGTATTCGAGGCATGCAGAACAACATTGTGGGTATCAGGTATAATCTTGTTATCCTGAAGAGTGCAAAATTATTTCTGAGTATACCACAGGAATTACCACACTCAGCACTGAGGAATTACCATTGGAGCACTGAGGTCCAGGGAAAAGTTGCAGAGCAATTTAAGATATTTTGCTATGGATCCACAGCTGTGAGTTTGAGTCTCACTCTGGACTTGTACTGAAGGCCACTTCCAGTTGACCTACCAATTAACCGTTGCCTCATCCTTCACAGATCATGGAATCTGCTCAGTACAGCCAAGTAACAGACCTCAGCATCTGACACCACTAGGCCCTTCCTAAACTGCAGTAAGCACTATGCTGGCTGGGACTGTTTATATACTTATTTCCAATAAGGTTTTCAAGGTGGGCATATTCTCATGGCTTTTTTATTTATTTAGAGAACCACTTTGTACAGCTCTACAAGAAACTGTTTATCAGAGGTGTCATATAATATGTCCACAATGCTTTAACCATGAGATGACTCACCAGTGCTTGAAGCTGAAAAGCCAAATTGTTATTGTTCTCAAGTCAAATGAAAGGTTGTGTAACCCTCAATAAAAAGGAGTAACACGGTGTTTGTGGACTTACTTGCATTATGGTGATGGTTAGAAACCCCACCAAGGGATCAGGACCCCTTGTATGTGTCATCTGTGAGCAGATGGGATGCAGCAAAATAGGCAAACAGAGTGCAAGCTGGTTGGAAGATCACTTGCCTCATCAATATGAGCGTAGTGATTTGTATGCATCGTGAAAAAGTAAGTTTTAGAGAGAGACTTGAAAGGTTGGAGTTAGACTGGATGCAAGCACAGGACTGCTGGTGGAAGTAGGTAAGCAGGCAGTCACAGATGCCAGCAGGTGCAGTGAAAGGGAGGCTTAAAAACAGAAAGATCTAACATGTACGATGGGGTAAAGAGCAACAGGATTGGGACCTTGCATGAATTTGAAGCTGCCTCCACTGCCGTGCACAAGGAGGTGACAGCCAAGCAGCACTTCTTGTAGTGAACACAAGTAATAAGATGCTAAAGTAAACCTGGGTTCTTCATAGAGTTGAGTTGCTTGGCTCCCTACAATAATACAAGCTTGAAAAATAGCCAGGGCTAACTATAATGCCAGCCAGCAGCTGCATGGGACCTCTTCCATGCTCCAGCTGCTGGCTACGGCGCTTATTTCAAGGGGCGCAGATCTTCGGCTGCTTTGAACCCCGCTGCGCAAGCAGGGCCCTTTGAATCAAAGCAGCAAACAGCGGGCAGCTCATCCTTCACCCTGCCATCCACTGTGACTTGTGTAATTTCTCGTTTTGGGACAAAGCAGTTCTGAATCTTAATGACCGAGTTGAGCTCAATCATTCAAGTCTGTGTGGTGCAGCCACCAGCAAGTCCCCTACCTCCCAGATTGGTCAGCCTGGGGCTTCAGATGCTCCCAAATCCAGGACAAGTAGCCAGAAGCAGGCCCCAAACCCAGCGGCCTTGGAGATGCCCCTGAATCTCGCTTACCCTAGCCAAAAAGCCAAAGGAGAGCTAGAGGGCAAGCCCGAGAGCAAGCCCCATCCCTGCGAACGCTGCAGCAGAGATCCTGGCACTTGCAGATGGCTGTAGACTCCTGCAGGTCCACTGGGAATCGAGGCACCCAGCTGTGACTGAGCGGGGTCCCACCGCGCTGGGAGAGCGCGCTGGCTACACGGGGGAGACGCACAGATTCACAGACGTGGAGTCGGAAGGGACCGCCAAGGATCATCGTGTCCGACCCCCGCCCCCGGCAGGAAAGAGGACCCGGTCAGATGGCCCCAGACAGGTGAGTGACAAGCACTGATGCCAACCACGAGCTCAGCGTGTGGCAGCAATGGCTTTATTGGGCCTGGCATGCAGACGGCTTCAAATACAAACTGTGCGGGCCGAGGCTACAGTCCTGGGGCCGGGCCGAGCGCCGCCCTCGAGCCGCGCGAAGGCAATGCGTCCCGGCCCGGGCAGCAGCAGCCTG